CCTGCCCGTGTGACCGGAGCCAATGTTACTTTTATATCCTGCATGACGGGCTCACATGTCTAGTGACGGGCACCAACCGGCTCACAAACTAAAGTTCGCGATGAATTTTGGGCGGTTTGCGGCGCATCAAGTTCGTGGCAGGCCGACTGGCATGAACCTTCCACGAATTTTCAAGCTGTTAGTTGCCAGTTCAAGGTGGGCAGTTCGTAAATGGATACGTTTCCAGACAGGCTGTTGCCGCGCAATCTAAAGGTTTACAAAACTTCAAAGCAACGGAGGACAGAATTTGGAAAGCATGTAGAGGAGCCTCTGGGGGAAGTCTCCTGCGACCTTGATGTCTCTAGCTTGCAGACACAATCCGCTCTATACACCCCTGAACCGTCACTTCCCCAGAAAGCCCTTTCCTGGGGGCACCTTCTTTGAGGGACCGTAACTCAGACCTTACTAAACCTGGAGGGGAGGTAGAGGAGGGTTAGCTGGAGATCCCGAGAGAGCGTAAAATCATACAATGTTAGAGTTGGAAGGGACCTTGCAGGTCATCTAGTCCAACCCCCTGCACTCTGCAGAAGCAGAGCCGAAAGATAGCCCTACAACTTACCCGAAAGATGGTCGTCCAGCCTCCGCTTGGAAACGTCCAGCTAAGGAGCATCCACCACCTTCCGAGGCAGACTGTGTTCCACTGCTCAACCACTCTTACAGTTAGGACGTTTCTCCTGATATTGAGCCGGTAATGACTCCCCTGTCATTTCCACCCATTAGATCTAGTAAATCTAAATCTAAGTAAATCTAAATCTAAGGTTAAAGTATTGCAGTCCGGAGCAAGAGAGAATAGATCTGCTCCGTCTTCTACATGACAGCCCTTCAAATCCTTGAAGACTGCAATCCTGTCCCCTCTAAGCCTTCTCTTTCCCAGGCTCTGCTCCAAACGGCCCTTCCAATTGCAATCTCTTTGTGGCAGGACGCCCTATTACCTGCATGAGATAGTAATAAATTCCTGCTAAGCCGTGCGCCGCTCCCACATAGTATTCCTGGTACCATTCGTACATCAGGGGGCTCTTTGCGGTGAAGTTCCGCCTTTTGGCCAGGCTCTCCCCAGAGGCCAGAACCGCCTCACAGACCTGGAGGGAAAGAATAAAAAATCAGTGGCTGCTGTTCCAAAATGGCCGCTTCACACATCTCCCCGCCGGCCAAATGGATTCTACGTTGCCCTGTCCTTGGAGGCAACCCAGAATCTGCAGCTGGTCCAGAAGGAACATATGTTGCCCGTTTCGAAACGGCTGCATCGGCTCAGGAACCTAGAAGGCCGGGTAGCTAAAACACAGAACAAGAGAGCTCTATTTATTGCAGAGTGTGCAGCAGCTACAAATTAAAAACAACATTAGAAGAATGGAGATAAAAACAATGAGGTCGTGGGTGCAGCATCACATCTATTAAGACATCGCAAACAGCAACAAATACAATTTCAGGTGGGTGGTCGTGTTGGTCTGAAGGAGCAAAACACAGTTGGCCTCTGGCAGCACCTTTAAGGCTGGCAAAGTTTATTTCTGAGTATAAGCTTTCGTGTGCATCCACGCTTCTGCAGACTGATCGAAACAGACTTTGCTGACCATTACATACAGGTGGTGGTGGTGGGGTTAAGTTGGCCGGAAGGGATAACTGGTGTCAAGGTGCATACGTTACTGAGCGATAAGTATAGCTAAGATTGGGTTAAAGCAGTTGGTAAAACCTGCAAATAGCAGCAAATCAGCATGGAGAATAGAGTGACTTAGCATGTGTAGTGAGATAAGAACCCGATATCTCTGTTAAGCCCTGAGGGTTCCATTGTCCTGCGTGTTGTAAAATAACCACTAGAATAAACTACTGGTTACACATGGCCCTGGGGGCCTTCTTCAGAGGTCTAAATAATAACACACACTGAAAGTATAAAATATCTGTTCCAGGCAAGGCAGCTAATACATGAATCAGTGTAATGCTATAGCTACAAAGAAGAGTTATAAAGTGTTGTTGTCAATCAGGCCTGCATATACTGAGGAGCCCCCACGCACCAGAGAGCATAACTCTGTCCAACCATTCTGCTCTTGGCTGTTGACATCTGCTGCCAAGCCTCTACGGAGGAAGGTGATTGCAAACCACCTCTGCTTCTCACTCGCCTTGGAAGCCCCTTGCTGGGATCGCCATAAGTTGGTTGCGACTTGACGGCACTTTTTACACACGTGCACTCTGGCTATGGTTCTGTCTCCACATTCCTTTCCGGGTGCTGGTTATGACGGCCTGGGGTCCCCATAGCTGAAGGACCGTCTCCTTCCGTAGGTTCCCAGGCTGTTTCCACACTCAGGACGACCCACCTGGCATCAACCAGTGCCAGGGCCTTTTTCATAGTGGCCCCTCCTTTGAGGAATGGGCCCCCTGAATCAGAAAAATAATAACAATAACAACAACAACAACAATAATAATAGATTGGATGTATACCCCATGGCCCTCCACTACCGGAAGGAGTCTCAGAGCGGCTGACAATCTCCTTTCCCTTCCCCTCCCCACAACAGACACCCTGTGAGGTAGGCGGGGCTGAGAGAGCTCTTGACAGAAATGGCTCTTTTTCAAGGACTACGGCTTGCCCAAGGTCATCCAGCCAGGTACAAGTGGAGGAGTGGGGAATCAAACCCAGTTCTCCCAGATCAGAGTCCACGCATTTAACCACTACGCCAAACTGGCTCTTTTAGACAAGGGGAGCACCCTTTCTGGAGACCTTCAAGAGGGGTCACAAGGCTTGTTTCTTTGACAGGGCTTTTGGTGGGATAAGAACGTAAGAGAAGCCATGTTGGATCAGGCCAGTGGCCCCTCCAGTCCAACACTCTTGTGTCACACAGTGGCCAAAACCCAGAGGCCATCTGGAGGTCCAGCAGCGGGGCCAGAACTCCAGAAGCCCTCCCGCCATTGCCTCCCAAGCACCAAGAAGACAGAGCATCACTGACCCAGACATAAGAAAATCAGGGAAGCCAATGGTGGATCAGGCCAGTGGCCCATCCAGTCCAACGCTCTGTGTCACGTAAAGGCCAAAAATACCAGGTGCCATCAGGAGGTCCACCAATGGGGCCAAAACTACAGAAGCCCTCCCGCTGTTGCCCCCCAAGCACCAAGAATACAGAGCATCCCTGCCCCAGACAGAGTGTTCCATCTATTTGTTGTTGTTGTTCAGTCGCACAGTCGAGTCCGACTCTTCACGACCCCATGGACTAGATCCCGCCAGGCCCTCCTGTCTTCCGCTGTCCTCTGAAGTGTGACCTCCACGGTGCTCGTGGTGTGGTCGGACCAGGGGTTCATCTAAGGGGCACCAAGTTCAGGGCTGATGTGTCATGTGAAACGGGGACACCCTGCATCGCTTTGCACGCGCTTCCCTTTTCATGTGCTCAGGACCCCACAAGGTTCGGGAAACTAGAGGGCGTGGAGGAGGGAGAGTTTACGGGAGAGGGAGAAATGGGCACCGTACCTGCTGGACGTGACTCTGCGGGATCTTTTCCTCCCCAAAATGCTTGTTCACAAAGAGCAAAGCCTCTGTCCTAAGCCTACTGCCCCTTCATTTCATGGAGTGTCCACAAGTTCTTGCATTCTGAGAAGGTGAGGAGAGGGCTTCTCTCTCTACCTTCTCTATCCCGTGCGTAATTTTGTAAACCTCTATTTACGAACATCTTGGTGGGAGGAGCATCTCGGGCGTTCTATTTCCCCCCCCATTTTAATTTGTAGGGTCTGAATTATTACTGCAGGAGCTGCGGTGGCTCAAGTGGTTAAGACCCTGAACTGCAGGCTGTGGAAGGTCGGTAGTTCAGCAGTTCGAGACCCGAGTGTGCCGCATGACGGAGTGAGCTCCCGTCTCTAGTTCCAGCTCCTGCCAACCTAGCAGTTCGAAAGCAAGAAACTGCAAGTATATAAATAGGTACCACTTCGGTGGGAAGGTAACAGCGTTCCGTGCGCCTCGTTGTTTAGTCATGCCGGCCACATGACCACAGAAACGTCTTCAGACAGCGCTGGCTCTTCGGCTTGGAAACGGAGATGAGCACCGCAACCGTAGAGTCGGACTCGACTGGCTTTCGAGCAAGGGGAACCTTTACCATTACCTAATTATTACTGCAAGCCACCTTAACCCAAGATGAAAGGAGGGGGCGTAAATATTTTAATAATTATTTTTAAGGAAGAAAGCTTTTCTTTTCACCAAGGAAGTCCAGGGATGTTGTGCAGAGGCAGGCAGTGGCAAACCCCCTCTGGACGCCTCTTGCCTCGAAAGCCCTGTGATGAGGGGTCACCGACAACGCTCCCTCTCAGCTCTGGAGCAAAAATCCTACTCTGTGAGCGACTGGCATAAGAGTTGTGAGCGAGCGATTTGGATGCTGCATACATTAGTTTGCTCTGGAGCCATCACTCCTGAGCAGAGAGAAAAAATCTGTGAGCCGGAGGTTAAAAAACTGTGAGCTGGCCCACACTAACGCAGCTTAGAGGGAACACTGGTTACCCTAAGTCGGCTGCAACACAGCTGCCCTTTCCACCACCACAGCCTCTCGGCAATCCTTACAATTACTCTGTAAAGGAAGATTCAGATGGGTAGCCTTCAAGAAGTGTGTGTGTGCTCACGAAAGCTCATACCCAGAATCAGGGGTCATTTCATAGAAAAAGAGATGCAGGAGCTCGTTAGCATAAGTCATTAGCATAACTTATTTCCAGGGGGTGGGGCTTGTTGCATGTGCCCGCCCCCTGGGCTCTTTACTGCCGGAGCTCCGCTCCTGTGGGAAATGACCCCTGCCTAGAATAAAACTTTAAGACCAGGCACCACTGGACTCAAACTCTGTTCTGTAAAGGAAGTCACTGTGACTTCCACGGTGCTCGTGGTGTGGTCGGACCAGGGGTTCATCTAAGGGGCAGCAAGTTCAGGGCTGATGTGTCATGTGAAATGGGGACACCCTGCATCGCTTTGCACACGGTTCCCTTTTCACGCGCTCAGGACCCCACAAGTTTCGGGAAACTAGAGGGCGTGGAGGAGGGAGAGTTTATGGGAGAGGGAGAAATGGGCACCGTACCTGCTGGACGTGACTCTGCGGGATCTTTTCCTCTCCAAAATGCTTGTTCACAAAGAGCAAAGCGTACAGGTACCCCATGCGGCCGTACAGCAACTCGTCCGGGGCTCGCGGGTCAACCTTGGACAGATGGAGCAGCCTGGAAGGACAGACATTCCTATGAGATGTGTACTTTTTTAAAAAAATGGTATTAAATTGCTTATACACGGGATATTACTGTAAACCTTCGAAGCCACATTTGTTAGGAAAAAATATATTAACCAATTATAAAGATGCAAAGGCTGTTTGGAATATGTTATGACTATGTGGACTCCTATTAAGTTATCAAGTTACACTGAGTACATGGACTTTATGTCTTATCTTCAAAGGAAGAAATATTGTATATTATGCCTTATTATAGTTACAGTATGCATAAATGTTGTTGTTGTGACACCACCAACTTTATAACTGTTTAACATATTGTTTTGGCAATCTTTGATGGTGTTTTCTGCTAGTGGAATTTGTTATTTGGGACCAGGGGTAATTTCCTGCAGGAGCACACAGGAGTGGAGCTCTGGCAGTAAAGAGCCCAGGGGGGGCGGGCACATGCAACAAGCCCCACCCCCTGCTCCCAGCAGCCCTCAGTCAGAGCAAGAAGCAGCCAGGTAAGTTGCAGAGGCCCCCCCCCCCAAGCCCAAGACAGTCCATTGGCACCTTTAAGGCCAAGTTTTATTCAGGTACAAGCTCTCCCTCCTCTGCGAGGACAGATCTGCACCCCCCCCCCAATAGCTAGCAATCCAAAACAGTTCAGTGGAGCCTGAGCGGTGGGTGCTGCCTTCTGACACACTTCCGGTGATGTCAGGGGGTGTGGCCTATGCAAATGAGTTATGCTAATAAGCTCCTGCACCTCTTTTTCTACAAAATGACCCTGTTTGGGACTCCTGTGACACTAGTCTTTTCCCCTTGTTGTTTGGATTTACATTTTTTTAGGAAAGGCCGCTTTAAAAATATTTTTGGATGAATAAGGATAAATGACCATTCCCGGGCTTTAGGCGTATACTGTGGGAACAGACAGTCAACGAATTTTAGTGGAGCAAAGAGAGAAGGGAGAATTTTCTGGCTGGCTAGAAACCACTTTCATCAACTATTCCCAAGGTCCCCGTGACACATTTCTTTGCTCAAGACAATCACAACCAGTGTTCCCTCTAAGCTGAGTTAGTATGAGCTAGCTCACAATTTTTTAGCCTCCAGCACACACATTTTTATATTTGCTCAGGAAGGGATAGCTAATTGATGCAGCAGCCAAATCGCTCGCTCACAACCTTAATGCCAGCAGCTCACAAAGTAGAACTTTTGTTCTCAAGACCCCACAGCTTAGAGGGAGCATTGATCACAACAGGGAACATGTTGGTGGGGCTTCCCCTCCAGATAGTAAGCAGCTGCCCCCTAGAGCCTGCCTTTCTCTGCTGGTATCCATTTTTGTACATTTTTCTTTTCATTAAGCGAAAACATGAAGGACAAAGGGCCTTCTCGGAAACCCAGGACTAACTTATTTTTTCAAATACGTGTCTGAGAGAAACTGAAGCGATACTTTGTATCGGTTCCTTAATAGCTCACGCGAAAAATCATCCGCCGCTCGCTAATTGGGCTTGCACTTAACTAATGACAAATATTGGGCTGCTGTAATTACAGCCACGACCGACTCAGTCAAATTTCACTCGGCAGTTAGTCAGAGTTGGAACTGGGGCGCATGGAGCCTCTTTGTGCGTGCTAGAAAATTCCTCCGTCGTTCTCCAGGGTATGAGCAAGCAAGGCAAGGGATATTTCTGCAACAGTAACTGATCGACAACTTCAGCATCCTTGGCTCGGCAGCTGAATCTTGCAAGGTGCGAACCGACCTTCTGGGCTGCTCTTGCTACTGCGCCAAAAATGGGTTAGGTGGTCTTCCACGGGAACACAAATGGAAAGCAGAACAGAGTTCGAAAATACACCTTTGAAACACACCATGTGTTGGGGTTGGAGAACCTTCTGTCTGAGGCAAGGCTGAAGAGCGTGGGACTTTCCCATTCAGGAAAGAGACTAAAGCGGGACACAGTAGAGGTTTCCAAAATTATGCATGGAATGGATAAAGATAACTTTTTTCTCTCTCCCAAGATAGTAGACCTCCAGGGCTTCCAATGAAGCTGATGGGCAGTAGGTTCAGGACGGATAAAAGGAAATACCACTTTACACAGAGAGGGATTAAAATGTGGAATTCGCTGCCAGAGGATTGATGGCCACAGGAATAAACAGCTTTCAAAGTGGATCCAGTAGATTCATGGAAGGTAAAATCTATCAATGGCTACTAGCCGGGGAACCTCCACATTCAGAGGTAATAATCCTCTGAATCCCAGAGCGGGAGGCAAAATCAGGGGAAGGCCTCGGCCTCTCTGCCCTGTCGCTGGTCCTCCGAAGGAAGTGGCTGGCCCCTGTGTGATCTTGGAAAGGTTTAGACTTATTTTAAATTTTTTTTTTGGTGCAACCAGATTCATTGAAACAACTCCCCAAAATAAAATTCCGGTTTATTGTTGGACAACATTATTTCCACACATATATCAAAAATTAACAGCAACTCCATAGACAAAAAAGAAAGAAATGAAAACCCCTTTTTATCTTTGGCCATCTCATAAAAACCAACTACTTTTGGCTCACCTAGACAAAAAGAAGAAGAGGAGGAGGAGATTGGATTTATACCCCATGGCCCTTCACTACCCGAAGGAGTCTCAGAGCGGCTTACAAACTCCTTTCCCTTCCCCTCCCCACAACAGGCACCCTGTGAGGTAGGTGGGGCTGAGAGAGCTCTGACAGAAATTGCTCTTTTTCAAGGACAGCTCTTGTCAGAACTACGGCTTGCCCAAGGTCATCCAGCAGGTGCAAGTGGAGGAGTGGGGGAATCAAACCCGGTTCTCCCAGATTAGAGTCCGCGCACTTAACAGTTCAATAAATACAATCAAATTTAAAATACATTAAAACATATAAAATCAATAGTCATGCTTGCCATAGGGAGAATCCGGCCCACTGATGTAACTAGGTATGGCCGGTTATAAGTAGATGCGAGACCGCAACCTGGGGGGCGGGGGGATTTGTGGAAGCTCATGGCACGAGACTAAAGGAGGGGGGGGATCAAAACGGTGGCATGATGGCCATCTAGAGGGGCCATAAGAATGCCGTTAAGAACAACAGTCACCGAGGGGGAGAAACAGGGAAGAGTTCGGCAGCTTTCAACTCAGGACGGATATATTTAGGAAAGGTATTAGGAGGACATGTTGGAGTGAGAAATCAAGCCAATCTGGGACTTCTCCTTCTCTGGAGGCTTTCAAGAGCACTGCTGATGAACATCCGTAGAGATTCGGGTTAGGGGATCCGTCTAGCCTGGAACTTGGCAGGCCGGAGCCGGATGGTTCTACGATATCGGTGTCTTGCTCTTGCAGAGCCACTAGATGGCAGTGTGGGATCAGACTGGACTCCCTCTCAAGTACAACGGAGGTCCAGAGGGGCAGGAACAAAAGGGGCCAATTTCAAAGCGAAACAAACAGGGGGATTGTATCAGCCCGAAAGTTCTTAGGATGGAGAATGTACTTCCCTTTTCTCAGTCGGTATCAGGGCCCTGCTTTTTATTTTTTTTAAAAGGCCAGATTCACATCGAGAGAAAAAGATACGCAAGCTGCGCTCTAACGCTCCCGCTCATGCTAGAAGTATCACTGCAGTATAGAAGGGGAATGAAATTGGATGCAAAACTCACGGGGAGATAAGACAGACGAGTAATAACAAATATTTTAAGTTTGGCTTGACCAAAGAACAACTGCATCTGTGGTCTAGGTTTCTGTCCACTGCAACGAAAATCCGGGCTAACATCCTTTGCATAATCTACTTGGATTCTAACCCTTAAACTGTTCCATATATTAGGAGAAATGACGCTACATTGAGACTCTATGAAAGCTATTATTATTATAATTCCGTTTTTCTGCTTCTGAATGGCCTGTGGGCCACAATAAAGTCTGGCTGATGGAAATACTTAAATCTATTGAGGTAGAAATATGGATGGGAAATATGAACATGGGAAAATAAAGTTTTTAAAAAAGTGAGTCATTAAGAAGAAAAGAGAAGCCATGCTGGATCAGGCCAGTGGCCCATCCAGTACAACACTCTGTGTCACACAGGGGCCAGGACACAGGTGCCCTCAGGAGGTCCACCAGCAGGGCCAGAACTCCAGAAGCCCTCCCGCTGTTGCCCCCTCCCAAGCATCAAGAAGACAGAGCATCCCTGCCCCAGATATAAGAAGATCAGAGAAGCCCTGTTGGATCAGGCCAATGGCCCATCCAGTCCAACACTCTGTGTCTCACACAGTGGCCAAAAATACCGGGTGCCACCAGGAGGTCCAGCAGTGGGGCCAGGACATTAGAAGCCCTCCCACTGTTGCCCCCCCCCAGCACCAAGAATATGGAGCATCATTTGGCCAAGACCGATAGTTCCTAGCTATACTTTGTGGCCATACCATCTAGCCACGGATGGACCTCTGCTCCATATATTTATCCAATTCCCTCTTGAAGCCGTCCATGCTTGTAGCCGCCACCACCTCCTGTGGCAGTGAATTCCATGCGTTAACCCATCTAAGTACTAACCAGCAATGCTCCCTCTAAGCTGTGGAGTCTTGTGAGCAAAACTTCTCCTTTGTGCGCTACTAGCATTAAAGCTGTGAGCGAGCAATTTGGCTACTGCGTAAATTCGTTTGCTCTGGAGCCCTCCTTCCTGAGCGAAGACAGAAATGTGTCCGCCGGAGGCTAAAAAACGGTGAGCTAGCTCACACTAGCACAGCTTAGAGGGGACCTTCTTGTTGGGCCGGGCCATGTGTGTCATAAAATGTAATGCCAGGTAGCTGAGATATACACTTTATAAAGGACACAAACACAAAGCCCAGCAGGAACTCATTAGCATAATAGGCCACACCCCTGACAGCACAGCTCATTAGCATATTAGGCCACACCCCACATGTTACCAGAAGTGTGGTCATCCAGCCACACCCACCTTTTGCTTCTTATTCTGTTTACCTTGTTTGTTGGGAGACAATGTGTTCCCACACCACCACCCCTTTTTGGTTCGTGTTCCTCTGTATGTGTTTGCCTCCTTACGCAAGGCAGAAAGTGCAATAGATTGGGCCAGCGTGAACCTTTACAGGTGAAGGCAATGATGATTTGCCGTTATCTGCCTCTAGGTAGGGACCCCGGACTTCCTTGGTGGTCTCCCATCCAAGAACTACCGAGGACCGACCCTGCTTCGCTTCCGAGATCAGAGAAATCAGGCTAGCCAGAGCAAAAGACACACAGAGGCGGTTCGCCATGGACTTCCTTGCCGGTCTCCCATCAAAGTACTAACGAAGAATGACCCGCATCAGCTATAAACAGGGGTCGTTCCGTAGAAAAAGAGGCGCAGGAGCTCATTAGCATTTCGCACTATTTTATTTCTTGATCTTTTTTTTTTTAAACCCCACATTATATCCACTTTTCCACAGCTGAAGGCAGTTTACACTGAGATAGGAGTGACAATAAAATGTATAAAAACCTGATGCAATGATGAAAAGAATGCCCAGTGAAAACAATACTATTGTCATTTAAAATGTTTATCCAGGGGTCATTTCATAGAAAAAGAGGTGCAGGAGCTCATTAGCATAACTCATTAGCATGACTCATTTGCATATGCCACACCCCCTGACATCACCGGAAGTGTGTCAGAAGGCAACACCCACCGCTCAGGCTCCACTGGACTGTTTTGGATGCCTAGCTATTGGGGGGAGGGGACACATGCAGATCTGTCCTCGCAGAGGAGGGAGAGCTTGTGCCTGAATAAGACTTGGTCTTAAAGGTGCCACTGGACTGTTTTGGACTGGAAGGCCGGGCTCTGCAATGTACCTGGCTGCTTCTTGCTCTGACCGAGGGCTGCTGGGAGCAGGGGGTGGGGCTTGTTGCATGTGCCCGCCCCCTGGGCTCTTTACTGACAGAGCGCCGCTCCTGTGCGCTCCGGCAGGAAATGACCCCTGGCTATAAAGATCTGACGAGATCGGGCTAGCCTGGGACCTCCAGGACAGGGCGCAGTGCTAAATACCAATATGCTCATTCATGGTGTTAAAAACTGAACAGCGGAACCCTGAGCAAAGTTATCCCTTTCTACGGCCACTGAAGTCAACGGGCCTAGAGGGGGGCAAACCCCTGCTTCGACCAGCTCTAAAGTCATCCGGATAATTACCGTGCGATGCAGTCTTCGGCTTGTTTGTCACTCCGCAGCTTGTGGTAGACGACGGCGGCCACCGCCAAAGGCCCGGCGTCCCCGCACAAGAAGGTGATGGAGCGCTTTGTCAGGCAGCCGAGGCTCTTCTTCACGTACTCCTGGGACATCTGGAGGTAGGACGGGTCCCCGTACACGTCAAACAGGTGCAAGTAGAGCAAGGCGATGCCTGAAAAGAAGAGGCCCTCGAGTTAATCCTCTTCCACATTGCGCACGCCTGACATTTCGACATCCGTTTTAGCAACCATGCGCCACCCCTCTGGTGTTTATTGACTTCCGTCAATGCCGACAAGAGAGCTAGCGGATGACTGAAAATGGGGGAACTCGTTTAGGGCGAACATCAACATTCAACATTTGGTGATGTCTGCAGCGGGGGGGGGAGGTATTTCCTTTTGAACATCCTGCATTTGCGACATCCAGTGGCCGTGCCCGGTTTTCAATCTAATTTATTACAGCAAGAGCCAGCAAAACAGTACAATTCTGATATAAGAAGGATTAAAAGAGTAATAACATAGGAATAGTATAAAAACATTGACAAGAGAAAATTAATAAAATTAGTAAAGTAAATTAATAAGAGAATCATACAAATTTTTCAGCTAGAATAGGTTTATGGATTGGATTTATACCCCGCCCTTCACTACCCAAAGGAGTCTCAGAGCGGCTTACAATCTCCTTTCCCTTCCCCTCCCCACAACAGACACCCTGTGAGGTAGTTGGGGCGAAGAGCTTTTTCGAGAACTGTTTTTTATTTATTCATTTATATTTAAATGTATATCCCACACCTCCCTACAGTGGCAGGCTCAGGGTGGCTAACAACATATTTATAAACAGCTCCGAGAGAACTTGTGACTGACCCAAGGTCACTCCAGCAGCTGCACGTGGAGGGGTGGGGGAATCAACCCTGGTTCTCCCAGATTAGAGTCTGCGCTCCTAACCACTACACCAAACTGGCAAGGATCCCCATTCCTTTCTGAGCCTGCCGGCACCTTTGGAATGCTGACAGAGAGCAGGGCGGAGCCAGCCACAAAAGGGCTGCCGTAGATGACCTTCAGTCACACACTAAGGATCCTTGTGCAGCGGTGGCAGCTGCTGCCAAAGCAATGAGTTTATCAATCTGCACAGCCAAGCAAATCTCCAGTGGCCTATCAGAAGCCCTGCTATGCAGAAGCCTCACCAGGCACCGCCCATTTGCAAACCCTCCCCCCCCAAAAAAAAACCCCACTTGGTGGACACCAAGAAGGGTGTCAACCTCCATGTTGGGGACCCCTGCCCTAGAGACTGAGGGAGTGGGGCTGAAGCCTCGAGGAGAGAAAAAGAGATTGGATTTGTACCCCGCCCTTCACTACCCGAAGGAGTCTCAAAGCGGCTTACAAATGCCTTTCCCTTCCCCTCCCCACAACAGACACCCTGCGAGGCAGGCGGGGCTGAGAGAGCTCTTTCAAGGACTGCTCTTGAGAGAACAGCTCTGAGAGAACTTGTGACTGACCCAAGGTCACTCCACCAGCTGCACGTGGAGGAGTGGGGAATCAAGCCCGGTTCTCCCAGATTAGAGTCCGCGCACTTAACCGCCACACCAAACTGGCTCTCAAACTGGCAGTTTTAAAGGTAATTCCTTTAAAAAAAAACTTCCTGAAAGTCAAAATTATTGGTTTGGCATAGCAAGGGTCAGCTGGAGTCCATGTTGCTTGTGACCGAGAAACTGTCAGCATGGCCTTATTCAAAACGTCGTTTGCAGTAGACCGAGACCTCCGGCCTCAAAGCTGAAGGCACCGCTGCCGCTACGGACACCCCAAGTGTGCCTCGGTGCCAGAGGCCTGCCTCGTTTCCGGAAAGCCCGGTTTTTAATCCTTTCTTCTCTGCTTCCCACCGCATTAACCAAGCAGGCACAGGGCCCTGCGCTGAAGTCTACAGTAACAGAGCTAATGCCGGTGGATTTCGACGCTGTTAGAAGGAAAAAAAAATTAAAGCAGAGAAGGAAAAAAAAAGGACGCCAGTGCAAAATTACTTTCTGCTGTACTGGGGATAGTTTTAAATTTAGATCATTTTCTCATTTTGCACGGGTAATCTCCAAAGCTTCAAATGACAGACAATTCCGCTCTGCATGTATATTAAGGGCAAATTTCCATTTCCAGCCGCAGTTAATAGCCTTGTCCGCTCTCCAGGCAGGCCCAGTGTTAGTCTTTCCGATGAGGGTGGCGCGGAGTGGTACGCACTCTTCGGTCACGTCCCGAAAGGCCTGCACCTGAAAATATTCTTATGGAAGGGAAGCCTAAATCTGGAACTCAGCCACTTCCCAGTTCTCTCCCCCCCCCCCGCTTACGCCACCCTCCTGAGTGAGCCAGTTTGGTGTAGTGGTTGTGTGCGCGGACTCTAATCTGGGAGAACCAGGTTGGAGTCCCCACTCCTCCACTTGCAGCTGTTGGAGGACCTTGGGCAAGCCGTAGTTCTCTCAGAGCTGTCCTTGAAAAAGAGCAGTTTCTGTCAGAGCTCTCTCAGCCCCACAGGTTGTCTGTTGTGGGGAGGGGAAGGGAAAGGAGTTTGTAAGCCGCTCTGAGACTCTGAGTGAAGGGCGGGGTATGAATCCAATCTCCTCCTCCTCCTCTTCTTAATAGACAACAAGGTCTGTTTGTGCCAGAGCGCGATCTCGTTCTTGTCCAGGTACCCGTAAAAACTGGCCTTGGTGAGCACGTGAACAGCCACACAGCCGGAACAAAGATCCTCTCAAGGCAGGAATGAAGCACAGGGCTCATATGGTAAGGTGGGACCTCCTTCCCCGGAAGCAGGAGGGCACAGATCTGGAAACGGCAGTCATGCGCTGGGCTGTATCTATCCCGCACGCTGTACTTCCGGCAAACGGGAGTCGCCCAGGGATACCCATCCAGGATTTGTGATACACAGCACCAAAGGGATTTAAATCGAGCACCTTCGTTTCTGGCCCATAATGACTCCAGATATGTAATGAATATGGCTCAATATTTGACTTCGTCTGGATGTGCCACCCCATAGAAGAGCTCTTACCCTGGCTCGTTGTGCGGCTATTCCCTCTAAGGCTCTAGAGGGAAAATATAGAAAGGTACCTTATGAAGACAGGTGCTGCCCATGTTCTGTGGGAGAAGTGGAATCGATGCACCACATGTTCTTGAGGGCCAGTTTGGTGTAGTGGTTAAGTGCACAGACTCTGATCTGGGAGAACCGGGTTTGATTCCCCACTCCTCCACTTGCACCTGGCTGGAAGACCTTGGGCAAGCCGTAGTTCTGTCAGAGCTGTTCTTGAAAAAGAGCCATTTCTGTCAAGAGCTCTCTCAGCACCACCTACCTCACAGGGTGTCTGTTGTGGGGAGGGGAAGGGAAAGGAGATTGTGAGCCGCTCTGAGACGCTGAGTAAAGGGCGAGTTATAAATCCAATCTCTTCTTCTTCTTCTTTCACTGCCCTTTTAATTGTCTATGCCGTGGTTCTCAACCTTCCTAATGCCGCGACCCTTTAATACAGTTCCTCACGTAGTGGTGACCCCCAACCATAAAATTATTTTCGTTGCTATCATAAGACCATCGAAAATTTGTGTTTTCCGAAGGTCTTAGGCGACCCCTGTGAAAGGGTCGTACGACCCCCAAAGTGGTCGCGACCCACAGGTTGAGAATCGCTGGTCTATAGGGATAAGTTGATTGCACCCCTCTTAAATAGACCAACACTTGACGCAGATAGTGCTGATCCCAGAGAGACTTTTGGTAGAGGAAAACCAGCAGATTTCCAGACAAATAGCAAAATTCTGCTTGCAACTGGTAGAATTCCAAAATAAGAAGTAGATCAAGTATAATACTCTCCTATCTATTGCATGATTCATAACTAGTTTAGTGTTAGATATTTTATAATTATTTTAATATTTCAACGATTTTAAGGTTTTATGTCTAAATATGTCGAAATATTTTTGGAATTGAAAGCTAATTTGCTTTTGGATTATTTTGATAAATGGTTCCTGACTGCAAATCAACATCATTCATTCATTCATTCATTCATTCATTCATTCATTCATTCATTCAAGGAGACCTTCTTCAGTCACTGGAGGTCTGTTCCTGCGATTACAGGGGATGGCAAAATCTGTGAACATTGCTACCTGCTGGTAGGAAAACAACTCAAGTTTTCTGTAAAATGTAGTAATATAATGACTACGAGGAGCAGGAGGTGGCAAAGCGGGCCGGATTCCAACTGCATCAGATGACCACGCTCCACAAATGCAAGCAGTCTTACTCTAGTACAGAAGCACTACAGAGCCCATCTTTAGGCCTTCAGGTGGCCGTGCTCAATCTGCAGCTCACAGAGAGCCAAATTTGCCATCATTACCAACCGAAGGATATGCATGGCAACTGTGAGGCTTGCTAAACACAAACTTACAGCACTGTAAGATGTGGCTATTAATAAATTATCCCTTTTTAATTACCATAATAATTCTGAGCCTATACGGCTGTCTCTCCCCATTGGAACAAATCTGTCTGGGGCAGTGATGCTCTGTCTTCTTGGTGGGAGGGCTTCTGGAGTTCTGGCCTGCTGGTGGACTTCCTGATGGCCCCTGAGTTTTTGGCCCCGCTGGTGGACCTCCTGATGGCCCCTGGGTTTTGGCCACTGTGTGACACAGAGTGTTCGACTGGATGATGGGCCATTGGCCTGATCCAGCATGACCTATCTTCTGTTCTTATGTCTGGGGCAGTGAAGCTCTGTCTTCTTGGTGCTTGGGGGGGGGGGGGGGGGGGGGGGGGGGCTTGTTTCTGGCCCTGCTGGTGGACCTCCTGAGGGCACCTGGGTTTTGGCCACTGTGTGACACAGAGTGTTGGACTAGATGGGCCATTGGCCTGATCCAACACTGGCTTCTCTCATGTTCTTATGCCTGGGGCAGTGATACTCTGTCTTCTTCGTTATTGGGTGGGCAATAGTGGGAGGGCTTCTGGAGTTCTGGCCCCGCTAGTGGACCTCCTTCCAAGGCGAGGGAGAAGCAGGGGTGATTTGCCATTCCCTGCAGATTCTTCTTTGGTGGTCTCCCATCCAAGTATCGACCCAGCTGAGCTTCTGAGCTCTGACGAGATCGGGCTATACCACGCTGCCTTCCCTCCCTAGTACTGCTTGTAGCACAGCACAACTCTAGCAAGCCTCCATGAGCATCATCCTCGTTAGCAATGGAGTGTGTGACCCTCTACAGAGTAAGCAAGGCAAGAGGATCCTGCCGCAAGCTGCTTGCGCTCAAAAACTTGATGTGGGTGGAGAGGCAGGGAGACAAAGAGGGAGGGGAAGAGCAGGCGGTCGGTTGAGTACTATGCGCCACGCAATGCTCCCTCTAAGCTGTGGAGTCTTGTGAGCAAAAATTCTACTTTGTGAGCTATCCGGCATTAAAGTTGTGAGCGAGCGATTGGGCTGCTGCATAAATTAGTCTGCGCCGGAGCCATCCTTCCTGAGCTGAGACAGAAATGTGTGAGCTGGAGGCTAAAGAACCGTGAGCTAGCTCACACTAACTGAGCTTAGAGGGAACACTGCTGCCACCATTTTGGATCAGGCTTCTGCGCTGAGCGTATTTGATCCTTACATCGCACACTGGTAAAATGAGCAAAGAGCGCTGGCTCTTCCTTATACTCCTCAACCTTCCGTCAAGTTCCAGACAGATCCCGGACCCTTCCCGTATCGATGGCTGCGATCACACTCACTAAATAATCTACTTTTGATACACTTTCCAACTGGATTTTACTGTGCGAACTGGCAAAACCCACTTGGAAAGTGTACTGAAAGTGGAGTATTTAGTGTGTGTGATCGTAGCCCAAGTGTTGACAACATGGACAATCTGCCTGCCTGGGTGGCAGGGCCTTTTCAGTAGCAGCCCCACCATTATGAAACAACCTCCCCAGGGGAGGTGCCCCTGGTCCGCTCATTCTTGCTCTTCAGGAGGCAGCTAAAGAAAGTGTTATTTAAAACTCTGTTTGACTAAAGCAGTCCTAAAGTTAGATTTTAAAACGTTGGCTTTATGTATTTTGATGTGTTTTATTTACACATCTGCCTCGAGATCTGTAAGACAAAAGGGGACTAACAAATGCATAAAATAAGTAATTCTTGATCCTATGCCACTCTTGTGCCCCCCCCCCCGGAACAGAAGAACCCCCGCATCCCCACTAGTATGCCCTTGGAGTGCCACCCGGCCTACCTGCCCATCCAGTGTAGCTCGTGCAGTCCCGGGGGTCGGCGGATTTCAGGCCCCGCTCCATCTGCTGCAGAAGCTCCCGGATCTTATTGTTCAGGTGCTGCGTGAACTCCGGAGTCAGCTGTGGGCGTGAACAGAAAACAACGGGGGCGGGGGGGGGTTTTTCTCGTCTCGGCAGACGGAAGGAACCTCAGCACCTCCGAAGAAAAATGGATCTTTTTTGTCAGGCGCCTCCCGAAACTGATTACTCAGGCTCCGGCGCAAATCCTAATAATCGAGGCCCCGCTATGCTCCACCCCCCCCAAAACACACGTCCTTGGAGGGACAGGCCTGAGGATTTCAAGGAGACTCGCTCGTTCTGATTAGACGCCCGGCCTTCATTATTTAACAGCTCAGCTCTCACCCACGCCGGCATCTCTCGGCCCTCCGTGCCTTGATCACCTCTAGGCTAGGCCACGGCTGTGCTTTACCCAGAGGGGACCTCCGAGGCTGATCAAATTTTCAGCAGGCGAATCCGTTCGCCGAATGCCAAGTCGAGGGAAGGGATGGAAATAGCCCCTTACAAGGCCACTTGACGGCTGGTGCTGACTCATCGCAGAGAGACTACCGAGCCGGTAAGGTGCCATGGGGGGTGGGTGGGGGGTGGGCCCAGGTCAGATGCAGTCGGGGCCAGTGTTCCCTCTAAGCTGAGTGTGAGCCAGCTCACAGTTTTTTAGCCTCCGGCTCACACATTTTTGTCTTCACTCAGGAAGGACGGCTCCAGAGCAAACTAATTGATGCAGGAGCCAAGTTGCTCGCTCACAACTTTAATGCCAGTGGCTCACAAAGTAGAATACTTGCTAACAAGGCTCCAAGGCTTAGAGGGAGCATTGATTGCAATGTTCCCTCTAAGCTGAGTTAGTGTGAGCCAGCTCAGTCTTTTAGCCTCCAGCTCACACATTTTTGGCTTCACTCAGGAAGGACGGCTCCAGAGCAAACTAATTAATGCAGGAGCCAAGTTGCTTGCTCACAACTTTAATGCCAGTGGCTCACTAAGTAGAATACTTGCTAACAAGGCTCCAAGGCTTAGAGGGTGCATTGGTCGGGGTGCACAGGGAGAAAAGCAACTGTTGCCAGCATGCTCCAGGAAACCACAGACAGCCTGCATGCCAGTCCACAGCATGCCAGAGAACTTCAGGGCATGTTTCTCCTCTTCGTGCTTGAAGAATGCATGCATGGCAGGTAAGTCCTAGGCAAGTCTAGGCCGCTGCATAAAGGGCGAAGTACGATCTAGAGACCGATTAGTAGAACAGAAGCTTATGGAAGAGAAGAACTACCAACTCCTCCCTCAAGATCATGTTTTAATGCCATGAATGCAACGGAACAAATACAGAGAGAGAAATATAGCTAAGGAAAGGGTTAAGACACATCCTAGTTGGATGACTCAAATCAACAGATATCTGCATTAAGAGCCCTGCTGGATCAGACCAGTGATCCATCTAGTCTAGCATCCCGTCTCTCACACTGTGGTCAACCAGTTCCTCTGGAGGGCCAGCAACAGGACAGAGAGACCAAGGCCTTCCAAAGAACATCAGATGAGCCCTGCTGGATCAGACCAGTGAGGGTCCATCCAGTCCAGCCTCCTGTCTCACACAGTGGCCAACCAGTTCCTCTGGAGGGCCAGCAACAGGGCAGAGAGGCCGAGGCCTTCCCCTGAGAAGAACATCAGAAGAGCCCTGCTGGGTCAGACCAGTGGTCCATCTAGGCTAGCATCCTCTTTCACACTGGTCAACCAGTTCCTTTGGTGGGCCAACAACAGGTCATAGAGACCAAGGCCTTCCTAACTTTGTTGGTCTTAAAGGTGCCACTGGACGCAGACTGTGTTCCACGTTTATTTCAGCACGAGCTCTCGTGAGTCAAGTGAGCTGACCCACGAAAGGACATAATAAAATAAATCTTGTTCGTCTTGAAGGTCTTTTATTTTGCTACGACAGACTAACATGGCTGCTCCCTTTGCCACCGATTCCGTGCCACTGTGAGCCAGAAGGAATACTGCTCCCTTTGTGCGGAGACGCAGGGGTGGCAAAACTGCCCAGCCCAGCACATTTTTTTGCAGTGAACACACACTATCCGAGCCAAATATCCAACTGTGAAGCATCAAGAGGGAAGGTGCAGTGCCGAAGCTTGGCGTCTGGCCCAAGGGCATTGGCAAAAGAGTCCCGAGTTCAGGAGCTCCCAGCGTACTTGGGCCACACCCAAAGCTCCCTCTAAGCTGTGGAGTCTTGTGAGCCAAACTTCTACTTCGTGAGCCACTGGCATTAAAGTTGTGAGCAAGCAATTTGGCTGCTGCATAAATTAGTTTGCTCTGGAGACCTCCTTCCTGAGCTAATACAAGAATGTGTGAGCCTGAGGCTAAGAAACTGTGAGCTGGCTCACACTAACCCAGCTTAGAGGGAACAGTGGCCACACCTTCCCCCAGAGGTAGATTCAGGTGGGTAGCCATTTTGGACTGAGGAAGCAGAGCAAAGTTTGAGTCCAGTGGCACCTTTAAGACCAACGAAGTTTAATTCTGGATATAAGCAGGGGTCATTTCGTAGAAAAAGAGCTAGGGGAACTCATTAGCATAACTCATTAGCATATGCCACACCCCCTGACATCAGGGGCCCGGCAGTGGACCTGCAAGGCCAGCGGGAGTGCGAGGAAGCCCCGCCAAGGCCCTCCCTGGCCCCAGGCAGGCAGGGGTGGGGAGAGGCGGGGAGGAAGCAACTTACCCTCCCTCTTCTCCTGCCTCCTCCTGGCTGAATGAGGGCTGGAAGCGGGGCGACCGGAAGCAGGGGGCGGGGCTTCACCGTGTGCCCCGCCCCCTGCACCTCACCCGGGGGAACACAGTTCCCCCGTGTTTCCCCCCGAAATGACCTCTGGATATAAGCAATGCTCCCTCTAAGCCGTGGAGTCTTCTGAGCTGCTGCCTAAATTAGTCTGCCCTGGAGCCATTCCTTCCTGAGCTAAGAGAAAAACGTGTGAGCTGGAGCCGAAAAAACTGTGAGATAGCTCACACTAACTCAGCTTAGAGGGAACACTGGATATAAGTGTGCATGCACACAAAAGTGCTGGAGAAGACTCTTGAGAGTCCCCTGGACCCCAAGGAGATCAAATCAGTCAATCCTAAAGGAAATCAACCCGGACTGTTCCCTGGAAGGCCAGATAATGAAGCTGAAGCTCCAATACTTTGGCCACCCAATGAGAAGGGAGCACTCCCTGGAGAAGACCCTGATGCTGGGAAAGACTGAAGGTCAAAGAAGAAGGGGATGGCAAAGGATGAGAGGGTCAGACAGTGTTATCGAGGCAACGAGCATGAAATCAAACAAACTCCGGAGCACGACGGAAGACAGGAGGGCCTGTGGTCCATGGGGTTGCGAAAAGTCGGACTCGACTGTGCGACTGAACAATAACAACAAAAGCACACGAAGGCTTATACCCAGAATTAAACTCTGTTGGTCTTAAAAGGTGCCACTGGACTTGAACTCCGTTCTTTCCTCAGAGAGTTCTTTTCATCTTAGCTGTTCAGCAGCTGGAATAAAATGCAAATCAAGTGCCAATTTTCAGATTCACCCCGGGGAGAGGGGATCAGAGCTCCAACCAATGCCACCCGGTCAGTATTTTATTTCATTTTTTATTTATTATTTTCAATTTATATCCCGCCTTGCTGGGGAACTGGCTCGAGGCGGTGTACAAGCATTAAAACACAATAAAACAGTAAACAGAGAGCCAATTTGGTGTAGTGGTTAAGTGTGCGGACTCTAATCTGGGAGAACCGGGTTTGATTCTACACTCCACCATGTGCAGCTGCTGGTGTGACCTTGGGTCAGTTGCAAGTTCTCTCAGAGCTGTTCTCTCAAGGGCAGTCCTCAAAAGAGCTCTCTCAGCCCCACCTACCTCACAGGGTGTCTGTTGTGGGGAGGGGAAGGGAAAGGAGTCTGTAAGCCGCTCTGAGACACCTTTGGGTAGTGAAGGGCGGGGTATGAATCCAATCTCCTCCTCTTCTTCTTCTTCTAAATCAGCCGTAGATGGTAAAAGGTAAAAAGTACAGAACAAAAACACTACACCGTCTGTACATGAATGGCTACTGACCGCCCTCCCCTCCCACAAACGCAGAGAGCAGTGTTTCTCCTGCTGCAGGGTTGAGGTTTAGCTTTGGTGGCCAAGGAGCCGTTGGCCTTCACAAAGGTTCCGAGATATAACAGGGTTTTTTAAACAGAGGCGAATCTCAGTATGAGAGTCTAGAGACAAACTTGAGGGATTGGTAAACAGGATTCTCCCACTTGTTTTTTGTTTCCATCCCCCCCCCCACTCTCGCTGGGGAATCTGAGAAAATAATAATACTTCTGGAAGCCACGGAGTGAGAATGGAGGTGGTCACGTCGACTCATGGCAGAAGAAGAAGAAGAGATTGGATTTATACCCCTTGACCCTTCACTACCCAAAGGTGTCTCAGAGTGGCTTACAAACTCCTTTCCCTTCCCCTCCCCACAACAGACACCCTGTGAGGTCGGTGGGGCTGACAGAGCTCTGAGAGAAACTGCTCTTTTTCAAGAACAGCTCTTATCAGAACTATGGCTTGCCCAAGGTCATCCAGCAGCTGCAAGAGGAGTGGGGAATCAAACCCGGTTCTCCCAGATTAGAGTCCGCGCCCTTAACCACGACACCAAACTGGCACCAAACAAACAGTATGGAAGATCTTTATTAATGCCATCTCCCAAAAGACACAACACAGTGCGCTGGCTTTGGAGTTCTCCAGAACTCATAAATCAGGCTCCAAATTTAAAGCTGGTGACAAGTCACAGCCGACCACTGGTGAGGTTTTCAAGGCAAGAGACCTGCGGAGGTGGTTTGCCCTTGCCTGCCTCTGCACAGCAACCCTGGCCTTCTTTGGTGGCCTCCCAAGTAGTCACCAGGGCCAACCCTGCTTCGCTTCTGGGCTATTCAGGCCCGGGCTAGCCTGATCGTATTTCAGAAGCTAAGCAGGGTCGGCCCCGGTTAGTATTTGGATAGGAGACCTCCAAGGAATACCAGGGTCATGGCGTTTTCGGTGGCGGCTCCTATCTGGTGGAATGAGCTCCCAGAGGAGAGGTGGGCCCTGCGGGACCTTGTACAGTTCCGCAGGGCCTGTAAGACGGAGCTCTTCCGCCAGGCTTTCGAATAGGAGCCACCGCCACCACTGTGCCATCAACGCTCTATAATCTCCGCACATTACCATCGCTGACGTGGGTTCCGTCGGAGGGAGCAGGACGTTTTTTAGGGGACGACGGAGCAGTGGGAACATGCACTGCTGCTGTTGTATGGCTATACCATTGAGAACACCATCTTGGCTTAAAACTTGGAAGTGAGTAAGGGAGCACCGAATGGTTGTTACGAATTTTATCTAATCTGTCTATTT